TAAACGTTGGCGTATTTAAAGTTCTTACTCTCCAAGATTAAACGTTGGCGTATAATCTTGGAGAGTAAGCCATTTATAAATGCAACGCGAATCATTTTAGATTTATATTGGTCATCACTTACAGCAGTGAACTTACAATCTTTGGATAAATTTTTGAGCTCATTTAGAAATTTATCTATCAATTTATTCTGTTTCTGCTTCCGTGTTGATAAAATGTGTCTGCCGAGGAAAAAAAGTTCTATAGAATTTCTATAAACTTTTGAATTATATGGCCTATACAAATTCTATAGAATTTCAATAAAATGTCTTTAAATTTTTATAGAAATTACTATAAAACAATTTTTTCTATAGAAAAAAAATAGAAAAAAAAGTTCTTTAGTAATTTCTATAGAAATTAACAGAGATCCTAAAAAAAATCTATAAAACTCTATAGAATTTCTATAGACTATATGTTTCAAAAGTTTAGAGAAATTCTATAAAACTTTTTTTCCTGGGTATGATTCAAAAGTATTATTAAATTGAATCCGTATCAGCATTTATTTGATCAGATTTTCTTACACCCACTTCTGAAACAACAAGAACCAACTTCTCCAATTTGTAACGTTTTTTTTTCACCAAATGACAAAAGAAGTGTTGTTAAATCTGCTGAGAAAAATTACGATTCGGTGACTCTGGCACAAACTTATAACTTTAAGCTCAGTGTCAAATATAAGACAGCTTATAATTAGGTTCGTTGCGGAAAATCAAGTTTTATCGGAAATGGCGGTTTTAAACTATAAAAATTGAACTAAGAATCAAACAACATGAATTAATAGTGACGGTCAATTGAAAGTGGTAGCAATCAAAACAAAAAATTTAAGACAATTTACAAAAATCGCCAATAACATCGAAGGCAGACTGTTTCCATTTTAAAAAAGTGCACAAACCTTCTACAATTAACAGTAATGAAAACACGCAAAAAATAGGTGAATATGTTAGGAACATCAATAAACATATCACAAATGATCATAAGATAGTTTGGTTAGATGAGACAAGTTTAAATCTTTTTTGCAAAAAGACTGAAAGACGAGCAAAACAGGGAAAAAGAACAATAATGAAAATACCTGCTTCAAAAGGTGCATACTTTAATTTAATTGCAGCTATATCAACGACAAAATTCTTTATGTTAGAAACTTGCATTGATCTGGATTCTTTAATGCAGGATTTTTTAATGAGTCATTTAATGCAGATTCTTGTAACGAGTATAGGCTAGGAATGTTGGCTATGTTTCACCCGTTTTTTACATCCGGGAATCGTTTAGAGTATTCGGTTGGCGTAACAGACAACGCTCCATGTCAGTTCGTTCGGAAAGGGTGTTAGAAAATTCAACAATCTCAGTTTTTACGTTAAGGACCCTACAGTGTAAAGTTAAATCAGTAGGAAACAACCTCGTCCAAAAATAAAAGTTAAAAATACAATTTGCATTACACCTGTATTTGGTGCTGGGATTGCGAAACAACAAATGGAGTATTTGGAAAAAATTGTTAAAAATACAATAATGAGAGGTGATTGTGCACGTGCTGTACAACATACAACCACTCATTACGCAACGATTTTAAATATTAAAGACGTCCGCGTTGGCGTTTAACTAAATATTGCAATGGTTTTTAATGATATTGTTTAAATTCAATTTACGCCTTTATACATTTTTGTAAGTAAATTATTTGTGTAATTGTTATTATTCATCTGAATTCTCAATTTAATTTTTTACATACACACAAAAAAAATAAAATTCTGACACTCAATAAGATTTTTCCAGCTACCACAAAAACTGCAAATGCCCTTTGCATGACTTTTTTGTTTTATTAATAGTATATTTTTCTTTATGGAAACAAACTCATATGGCAACCTACCAAATTACAATCCAAACTTAAGTAAGTTAGGGCAACAAAATTAAAGAACTTTGTTATAAGAATCTTTTTTTAACTACAACTATTATGCTCTCGACTATATTTATATCGACTATATTGATATAGACATCTAGACATGTTCTTACGTTTCTTAATTAGAACTTTCAACTTTTTAATTACATCCTACGTTTCTCAATTCTGAGTTTGTGGTGGTTTTAATAGGGTGTATTTAACTTTAGATTTTTTTTATTTTTGAGTTAACTTTTATTTTCTTATAAACTATCTTATCCAGCTTGAACCAACTTAGTTCCAAAAGTTGCTGGTACCTACTCAGTACTTTTGAAAAATAAAAAAATATTTTTAATTATATTTAAATTATGCTTCATAAAAACCGTTTCGAAAGCTATATTTCTAGTAATAAATAACTGAATAAAAAAGTTTCAAAACACAAGTCAAATCAGGAAAGAACGTAATTTTGATTTTGGCAATATATACTGAAACTTATAAAAAGATAAACCATTACATAAATAAGTTGACCAATGCTCAGCTGGCACACATACATTGGGCAAACGTATGTAAAACCATTGCGAGATAATAAGTGCAATTTATTTTTATTTTCGCTCAAGATCCATTTTATTGAAAATTTTAACTGTAAATTGAATATTAAAATTTGGTCACCTGCTTTCTGTTGGAGGTCAGTATTTTTTAAGTCTAAATCAGTATTTTATTTGTTTGATGTTTATGAGCAAAAATTAAAGGAAAATGTACATTAATAAGACTTGCTTGACATTACATAAAGGTCAATCTTTTATTTATTTTTATTTTCTAGATTAAAAATGTTATATTAAATTAAGAAAGATGTTTAATTAATAAAGCATTTTATGACCTTTTAATAGATGGGAAAAGCTGCTGACTTGTCACCAACAAAATTGGCTAGAATTGAGGTTTATCTACGAGAGACATCACTCACGCAATAGGAGATTGCTAAAAATGTTGGAATAAGTCCGAAATTGGTATCGAAAATGATAACGAAGATGCAGACTGATGAAAAATTACGAGGCAGCCGTGTTGGCAATTGTGGCAGAAAAAAAGTAATGCCTATGCGAGACAACAGGTACCTTATAAAATGTATAAGAAACCGTAAAGCAACAAACAAGATGTTGCAGAAAGAATTACAAAAAAGTAATGTACATGTGAATACCAGAGCAGTCAGAAGACAATTAATTATGAATGGTATATAAAATATTGCGTTTCTTAACTTTTCTAATTTTTTGTAACGTTTTGAAGTAAAAATTTGCATTATTCATTAATAAATTTCACAAATGCATCAAAAATTGCATTTAGTCTAATAATTTGGCCACCACTGTATATACATATATAATGCTAAAAGAGAAATTAATGGCGTTTTACCGAATATATAATTATTTTAAGGGAAGAACGACAAGGTTGCCCTTTATCAATGATATATTTGTTTTTAAGGTGCACCAAGAAGTCCTTACGGTCTTATCAAAGAGCACCGCGGATGAGCATTTAATTGGATGTTCACGCCTCTTTCTTAACTGATGCCGCAAAACTTGTCCTGAGATGAGATTTGAACTACAGATCCTTTGTTTCTGAGGCAATTGCGCTACCACTGTGCCATGGCTGCTAATATTGTATATCATACAGGCTCAAATATTTACACAATATATTAAGCAAAACAAGACCATTAAGGGAATTATAGCTAGAGGAAAAGAAACAAAAATCCAGCAAAACAAACCTAGCCATACTCCAAGGTATATAGTTAGAAGAAAATATTCTTAAAGATAAGAATCCATGCTTAAACTTTGAATGGGGGGAATCATTCTTCAAGAGCCTGGTCAGCTTTTTTTTATCCACTAGAGAAACCAATTCCAGAAAATGGAAAATACCCCAAACAAATAAAGTAAACCTAAATATTTATTAAAATGAAAAAAAAATGTTATAAATTCTTTGATAATCCCACAAACAACACACCTAGCATTTATCGTACTCCCCCAACCCTCCTAACACTAACCCTAACCCTAGCCCTGACCCTAACCCTGACTCCTCCCAAATGAAGGAGTTTTAAGCAAAATGGAGACAAAACTTAACAAATTTCTATGGGGTAAGAAAATACCTAATCTGAACAAAGAAACAACACAACAATAAATACAAAGTTGTGGGGTTAGAGTTGCCAGTTAAATACATAAACTTAAGGCAATCCAAATGCAATGGGTCTCAAATTACATAACCAAAGGTTGGAAGGCCCACCACAAAATGATATGCTTTAAATAATAAACTCGCATAGGAAATCAAACAAAAACTTAAAAATATTGCAAACTAATTCCATGCAACTTAAAAAACTTCCACCTGTCTATCTTCAATTACTTAAAAATTTGCACGATGTTAAAACATCCTATAGATATAGAAGAAATACTAAATCAACCTTTATTTGATAACAATAATATCCGTGATAAATGCTACTGCTTTCTCATTCCCAGAAAAACTCATATTAAAAATGAAATAAAGCTTGTAACTGACATAAAAAAACCTTTCAGCCCGGATTCTTACGCCATAACTCAATAGGATTAACGGAATCAGAACTTAGTTTGATTCCGTTAATCCTATTGAGTATTGTGGTTGCTTTAACGCTTCAAAGGCAAAACAAAATTAAAAAAGAAAGAACAAAGATGACCATGGTTTTACTTATTCATACAAATTTTTTTTCTAAAACAAACCTTTTGTCTAACACAAGGGTGTTAGAATAAAAGCGTGTATTTAAACACTGACTGTTAGATTTTATCTGGTTGTTAAAAGTAAAAGTCATTTAATAAAAACTATTTATCATTTATTTATAACTTCTACAACTTGTTAATTAAAGAACCAAAATAAAGAAATTAAAAATATTTTAAACAAGTTAAAAAACGTTTAAATTTATTTAAGTTTTTATATGTTTTAAATTCAAATAAAATTTCAAATTAAACCAAATAAAAGTTCAGTGTTGCCAGATGAAATTTTTAGGTTCTATGTATAACAAATGTTGCTAATAGCAACATTTGTTTAACAATGCGAAAATTATATTATTTAGCAACACTGTACCAGCTCACAAACCTCTCACTGATCTGTAACCTTCAAGTAATAAAACGATTCCAAAAAAAATTCCACAATCTAAATTATGGCGGCTTTGTTTTATATACAACGTTTTCATTTACAAATGCACCTTGTTCAAGTTAAATTTCTTTGGATATTAAATTGTTTTTTTTTTTAATCTTATTAAATACTTTTTATCTTGCTCTTTATTAAATATACCTTTAAATATATCTTTATTAAATAAACTTTGATGGAATAAACTTTCAACACATATATTCTAAAAAAGTTGTTCACATCACTCTTCTTCGATAAATAATTGATCCTCGAAATGTAAAAGAGTTTTAATATTACCTTGGAAATGACTTAAGCTTAGACTATGATTTTAGTTTATGCATTTAACTCAGACGGTAACCACTGTTTTAAATATTAATTGATTTTTTTTTTAGACAACTTTATGTAATAGAGTTAAAATATAAATTAAACTTTTATGTTTTTATTCATTATTATTTCATTTACTTTTATTTTTTAGTCACAACTTTTATTTAATATTTTACTATTTCTTCAGTTATGAAACTAAGGAACCAATTTTTATTCTTTAAAAAGTTCAACTGCAACTTATAACAAGGTAAAAAATTGTAATCTTTTAAAATTCTGAACTCTGAATTTTGAGTTTTATTTTCTATTGGTTTGTTCTGAATTTTCATTGAAATTCAGAACAAACCATTTGTAATCTTTTTAAAATCAGAACAAATTAGTTGTCACCTTTTAAAAAAATCAAAGTATAGTTTTTTAAACTTGTTTTGACAAAATCAGTTTTATAATTCGTTCAGATTTACAATAAAACACGTTTTTATTTTTATAATTGATATACTCAAAACTCCCTCGAGTTAACCATAATAAATAACACCCAAGGTAAATACGAGTTTAAAGTTTACAAAAAGGAAGCCGTTACAAATATTCGAATTAAACCTTACTCAAATCATGACCTTAAGATTCTAAACACAATACTTAAAGGTTACGTTCACAGGGGTTATTCTATATGCAGTAATTTATACTTATAAGATGAGATTAATATCCTTATTCAAATATTTAGCAAAAACGAGTACAACATACAACACAGCATTTCGATGGCTTATCCGCAAATCAGCCAACTCCATGTTTGGTCGAAACCCAGATTTTGATATCATTTTTTTGATCTTCAAATTTTCTATGATATGCAAAAAGACCATAATTTAAATAAAATTATAAATACGTTAAATCACCCTGCACACATACTAGCCAACTACAAGTATACAAAAAACGATTTACCATTCCAGCTAACTCCTGCCAATCTTGCCATTTTGTATTGTGAAGTGTTAGATCGCAGAGTTTAGATTTTTAATATAACTTATATATTAATATACACTTTAATTTTTTAAAGCATATTTGTTTCCCAAAACAGTTAAATTAAGTTCGATAATTACTTTACAATTATAGAATCAGCTCCTTGTGTATATTTATACTGTATTTAGTTATGTTGTAGTTATTTCTTAACCCTATATTGCACATATTTATTTTAAAATTTTGAAAAAACAGACAAATAAAGTAAAAGTTATTAAACTTAGAAGCGTAGTTTAAAATTCAAAAGCAAGTAGTAATTTGTAAGCAAGTAGTAATAATGTCAAAATTTTAAAATACGCTTCTAAGTTTAATAACTTTTATTTTATTTTAATTAATTCTAAAACTTCATTATTTTGTATCAGTCTGTTATATTTCTGTGATTTTTCAGAATTATTTAGAGGAACAATATATTCAAAATATGGTTATAAAAATGGATACTTTTTTACTGGATTACTGAAACAGCTAAGACTTTACTTAAGTTGGTCAATTATATTGACCAACTTAAGTAAAGTTAATTATATTGACTCTTTTGAAGCAAACTGTTCCATTTAAAAATGGTTTTGCAATCTATGCATTTTTTTCAGAGAGTAAAAAATTATTTAACACTGCAAAAAAGCTGCATAAAATCATGATATTAGAAAATACTTAATGCACAGTTCAAATTGTTCTAAACAAGTTAAAAAAGCTAAGCGCAAAACAAGCTTGTTTTTTTTAACATCAAGGATGATACTGAAATCAACAAATTTAAGATATATGATAAATCAGAAATAGAAATGAAGTTTAAGAAATGTGGAAAAGTTAATACTCATCTTAGACAGATGAGATTACTCAAGCATGAAAATTTTAAATTAAAATAAAATAAAAAGTAAATTTAATAAAATGTACAAAAACTAACAGTCTTTGAGCAAACTTGATAGTAAAAAAAAAGAATAAGAATTTATAACACTGTATGGTATCCAAGCAAAATCTGAAACAAATGGAATTAAGAAAAATAATAAGTAAAAATGCTGAAATATCTTGTTTTTAGTTGTTAGTTAATGAGTTGAAGTTGAAGCTAGACTTAAAGCGCAGAACAGTTCTCCTACAGAAATATTAACAATAAAAACCACGGAATTAAAGCACATTTGTTACGATGCACCTATTTGAAAAAGGGTCTTTATGTGCTTACTAAATCAGGTTCCAATAGAAAATATTAAAGTTTTGATCAAATTTATTAATAAAGAATAACACTAAAATCTGTTATAAACATTTCTGCTCCTTCTAAATTTTGTACAGATGGCTTATTAGTAAGGAATCGTGGAATTGGAGTTCGCCACTCTGATGAAGATTCCTTGACTCAATGACACACCAGGTACAAGGCTGAACACTTGAGTTAGACTGCAAACCGAAAAACAATGTTTGCAAGCATCATGTCACATGAACCACAAAAGGCAATTTTTCAAGGTTTAATTTGTCCATCATCTGCTTTAAATTGTTATAATTTTCAGAATGGTTTTCCGCAATAGTCACCAGAAGTTGGTGCTTCACTCCTAATTCCTTAAAGAAAGGTTTCTTAGTCGGGAGAGAAGCATTTGGTTCTAAGTTAAGAACCCCTAAAGACACTTTCAGGAATCTCTTATCCTCCATCAATTTCCACCTTGATAATCACCTGAACTGAAAAGTGTTTCCTAGAGCTTTAACATCTTTGCAGTACATCAATAGACGTGTTGGTTTCTTAGGAGAAAAACAAGTCAGAAAGATGCTTTCCAAAAGACTGAAATTATTCCCCAATTTTTTTTCAACTACGCGCTGGGTAGTGTAGTTGAAAAAAAAGGCTGGTTTGAACTTGTAGAAGTTATTAAGCAGTCAAGGTGGATGTAGCTGCTGGATAAAGATCTCTTTGTCTTAATGGCCCTGGAGAAAAAGTTTACACCTACATAACACAGTTTCTCATATTCATAGAGTTTTCTTGTTGTAATAAAAGAGTCACTAAAACAAAAGCATTTTAGGCATATGTAACTAAAAAAATATATATTTTCCTGAAGTAACTGGTAGATGACTTCCTATTCCTCGATTAAGACACACAGTACCATGGGGTGAAAGAACCTTGTTAGCGATAACAGAAACAGCTACTACAGCTGTTTAATGTCTTTTGCTTCAACTTTAAGCAAATTCTGTTGTTGCATTCTATTTGTAAAATTATGTGTTCCAATAAGTGAAAAGCATTCTGAACAACTATTAACTATTAGCAACTATTAACTATTAACAACTATGACAACTATTTGACAACTATTAACAACTATGACTATTTGACAACTGTTAACAACTATTAACAACTATTAACAACTATGACAACTATTAACAACTATGACAACTATTAACTATTGGCTGTTCTTTCGGCTGACTAGTTGTGTTTGTTCGGCTGGGGGTTTTCAAACTTGGCTTTTCCTACATAACAAATCATGCAATCACAAGGAGATTCTCTTGTTGCATGACGAATCTTTATGTTTTGATAGTCAGGCAGTGAGGGAAGTTAAACATCTTCACCATTGTCTCTTTTTCTAAGGCCTACAGAGAAAACAGACAGTTTTTCTATTATCATCATGAGTTTTTGCTTGATTCGGCATTTTAAATAGTTTTGCACTTGTATTTTGCTCAAAGTGCATAATGAAACTGCGGGCAAGCATTTCCCGGATTTTTAAAGTTAATAAAGGTCCTAGGAACTTTTACTTAAAAAAGTTGCTAATTTTTGATAGAAACTTATGAGATAAAAATACATAACTTTTATGTAAAAAATGCTTTATTTCATTTGATTAGTAACCTTGCCAGTAGGCCAAAAAATCAAAATTTTCAAATCGATTTTTCTTTTACGGACGTTGATGAAAGAATTTAAAACCAACTCTAATGTACTCCTACATACTTGTACTATCATACTCCCTAAGGTCTTTCTTGGCAAAAAAAGGTTTGATTTAAAAGCTATAATGTGACACAGTGATAGCAAGTATTTAAGACGGTCTCTAAATCATTGGGGTCTGGAAATAGATTGTCTCGTTTCTTATGTTGTTTTGCTCCATTAATATTTAATATATCAACTCTTTTCTTATGTTGTTTTGCTCCATTAATATTTTGATAATATTATATTAAAAAATAGAAAGAAAATGTAAATTAATTTATTACCTTTATTACTATTTATATCAAAATAGTAAATTATTCCCATGCTTCGACTAAATCAACTTTTAGTCAACTTCAAAAATGTATTAATCAATTTTACTTGTATTAAATTATTTAAGTCGTAACAACACTAAATTTTATAAATATAGATGGGAAAAGTCTTTTACCGTTAATTCTAATTTTCATATTAAGGGTCGTCCATAAAGTAAGTACGCTCATTGTGGGGGAGGTCTTCAAAAAGCGTACAAAAGCGTATGGAGGGGAGGAGGATGGTTCAATTTAAAAGTACGTACTTCGATTTTGTAATTTATCACAATTAACCAGCTAATCAATAGTAAAGTTAAAACTCTGACTAAAGATCCTAGTTTGCCAACATAAAAAGATGTATTGTATAGAGAGTAAAGGGTATAATTTCCTTCTATGCTTACACATGCATCGGCGCCCTTTTTCAGGACTTTTTGTTTCCAGACCAACCATCCCAATTTTTTGCAAGGCTTCCTCATTTGGCATTACACATATATACAAATATATAATATTTGTATATATGTTTAATGTTCGTTTATATATGTTTAATGTTTATATATGTTATATATGTGTTATATAATGTTATATAATATGAGTTATATATGTTATATATGTTATATAATGTATATATATGTTATATATGTTTAATGTTTGAACTTTTTAAAATAAGATCTTGTGCCGCAAACAAAGTATCTAA